TGATTTTTAAAAAAACCATCTTCTTACAGTCTTTTTTATTATAGAAAATAACAGCCAATTTATCAAAATGAATTTTATGAAGGACAACAAACACATCAGTCAACAGCCCTGAATGCCTTGGTCAATTATTTCCAAAGTTAACACAGCATTAGAACAGAACTGTGGATGACTTTTACCAATCAATAAATATATCAGAAGAGAAAACCTAGCTTTATGATAATGATGTCATAATTACACTGTTGAAGGACCACTGCACTGTTGCTTTAAGAGGCTATAAAGCTGGGCTGGCAAAAACAGAGCTAAAAGTACCCTTTCCTGCCAGAATGTAGCCTCAGACTGTAACATCACAACGCTACATTATCATGAGAACATTAACTACAGTAAAACCCGAGAAAACCGGAACCTGCATACAGTGGAGGCCTGTCAGCAAAGGAAAGGAATGACATGGAAGTGGTGACCCTGCACCCTGTCAAAGGTGAAAATCCTATGAGACAAGGAGCAATGAGGTAGACCAGGTGAGCTCTAGCTCTCAGGTTTCATGAATAATCATAATCAACTTCCCTGGGTTACAATTCAAATACATGTCACTTGGTAATTAGTCTCACTTGGCGACATACATTCAAATAAAAGTATCTCAGTATAATATCAATTAGATACAGGCTGAAAGCTTTGTAAAAATATCTCTCTATAGAGTATTATTTGGATTAGATATGAAGCTGGTGCCTAAAATAGTTTATAATACTCAAGTGAATTAGTGAAAAAAAGGAATCAGACCAACACAGTCTAATATTAGACATACCAAAAGATTCATCTTTCTTATCCAGGCGCAGGTGAGCTCTCACCTGCCCTGGCTCACAGCCATCACAGGTATCACTGCCAGGGTGAATGTGAAAGGACAATACAGTCTCTCCAATTTTCACTTCATCTCCATGCTCAAGTACGTATGGATCACATTTCGTTTTTGGCTACAGGGAAAGACAGTACAAGATAGTTCTAATATAGAGCTGTAATTTCGTGTCCACGCTAAGTCACGCCTCTTCAAAACATTTTTAGTGATAGACCCACACTGTCCAAACATGCCTAAACTTCCACAACTTCATAGATAATCCATAGAAAATGCTCACGATTAGGGAAGAAGATAGGTAAACTGGGCATTTCATAATTTGTATCTTATCAAGCCTACCTATTTCTCTGTCTCAAGGCCCTATGCTACTAGAAATACCTAATACTTCAAATAACTCTCCAGACACTTTTACTACCAAACAATAGCCAGTTATAAAGAGAACGCGCTATCGTGTTATTTTGCATATACTGTGCCCATATACCTGTAACACACATAGTGCTCATGGGAAACTATTGGGGGCGGGGGGCTGTGTGGGTTGTAAGTAAACATATACTGCATGGTATCTGCATTAAAAAATATGGCACAGGTACAGATCTCGCTCTTTCCATTGATAATTCAGTTCTTTTTCACTGTTGATTATAATTATGAGGCCTCTCTCCTTTTTCTGTTTCTTGTTATGCGTTGAGCACTAGTAATACAAAAGGAGAGAGACACAGCTCTTCCCTCAAGGAGTTTCCAATTCAGCAACATTCCAATGAAAACCAATCGTAAAGACAAACTCTGAGTAGGTCTAACGTGCACTGAGAGCTCTGAACAAGCACGGAAATGTAACCTGAAGTCAAAACTCAACAGTGAACAGTTCCTTTTCTGGGACTTCCCATCCAAGTAGCACATTTAGGCCAATTAAATGATATCTATACAAACTAATGGCTTAAGAAAAAAAAGAAACATTTCAACTTTTAAAACTATGCAGATAATATTTATGTACTCACCTGAAGTATCTGTTTTCCATTAACAATTGTGCCATTTTGACTGCCTTGATCTACAAGGACATAACTTTGCAAGTCATGGTCAAAATGAATTTCTGCATGAAACTTAGAAAAAAAGATAGCGGTATTATAAAGTATTTTTCTTTTTTAAAAACTATGTCCAACTTTTTAGACAATATGTGGTGAACTTTTAACTTTATTAATGCCTCTCCCCCAAACACAAAAATGAGACTCTGATAGAAATGAGACTAGAGAATATAAATGGAAAAGTCACTATAATCCTCACGAATAATTTAGTACATGTACTGTTTTTGATTTCTTTAACCTGGTTGTGATTATATTGTATACAGTCTGAGTTTTACTCCCTGCTCAGTGTACACACAGGCATGCATCACTTAACATCCACATGGACCTTGTCTGACTGCATATGTGCCTGGGGGCCCAGGTATCCGAGTGCCAAGATGTCAGACACTTGTCTTAAAGTGGCAGCCTCACATCAGCGTGGCTTCTGTGAGCAGGTCAGAAGCCTCCTTCTCTGCAGGCATGGAGGGCCAGGCCCAAATTCCCAACCCTCACCCACATCCAGAGACTTGGCAGATCTAGTTTCCATACTTTGCCCTGTGTGGTTATGTAGGGTGACAACGGGAGATTTATCTTCGGTGCCCCAGCCTGACTAGGGAGCCCTTGGCCCCTCAGGCCACACCATTTTCTCCTCAGGCAGGTCCCCTGTGCTGTGCTATGTTTTAGCATAGAAGTTGGCTATAGCTGGACAAGACTCAGTGGAGCACTGGCCTGAGGGATCTGTGGCAAGGGCTGCCTGAGCCCTATGCTACACTTACAGCCTTGGGCCAGTGGTCGCAGGAGTCCCAGTTCCACACAAAATTCAAAGCACACAAATCCTAGTTCACTGGACGTATCATGGATATGAAGCAACGTATACCTGTATTTTCCCTTATCATTAAAAATTCTTACTATAAAAGGTAATGCTTCGGGCCCACTTCTCAGAGACATTTCTAGATTTTCAATATTTAGGTCCCATCACTCCTTGTTTGTTTTCCACACTGTATATATTGCCGTAACACATTACACGACATCTCTTCATAGGTGTATGTCACACAAGTTTATCACACAGTACAGAGTGTTTTATACACCGAGCATGTCCACAACATGAATGTACTTCATTGAATAAGGACTTACAGAAACATTTCATTAAAAATGCTGTTAGGCATGTAAAATGGTATAGCTACTTTAGAGAAGAAAACCCCAAAGCCCCAACAACCCTGTTTTATCATATGACACTCCTAGGCATATACCCAAGAGAAGTAAATATTTTCACATAAAAAGTTGTATACAAATGCAGTACTATTCATAAGCAAAAAGTGGAAAAAACTCAAACGCACACTAATGGACAGATTAAAATAATGAATCATGGGTATATAATGGAATATTATTTGGTGAGAAAAATGAGGTGTTGCTCCATGCTACAACATAGATGAATCTTAAAATGATAGGTGAAAAAAGCCAGCTAAACATAATCATAATCAACTTTGAGTTGGAAACAATGCAATGGCAGTGAGTTGAGTATGAGCAAAATATTGAATGATGCAGGAAACACACACACACACACACACACACACACACACACACACACGGAATGCCGAGTCCCTGTCCCAAACAGAACCAGCTGATGTTCCACCATTTTCAAGAGGTAGAATATAATCAAGAACAGACGGTAATGAAGAAGTCCAAGTTGTACTGAAGACATTAGTGAAAACGAGGATCCAGGAATAATCAGAATACTAACTGAAATGTTTCAATGAACTGATGCAGCACTGGAAGCATCACTCATCTATGCCAAGATGGCACCTACCAACAGTAACAAAGCAGTTAGTTCTGTACACGTCTTGACAGCACAAACGTGGAAGTGCTTCAGAGATGTTAGTGAATATATTCTCTCTCACTACCACTGAGTCAGCGCTGACTCTTGGTGACCTATACGGCAGGATAGAACATCCACTATGGGTTTCCGAGACTAACTCCTGTACAGAAGGGGGAAGTCTCATCTTTCTCCCACACCGCAGCTGGTGTTTTCAAACCGCTGACCTTAAGGCTACTCAGCAGTCTAATGTGTAACAGCTGTGCCACCAGGGTTCCGCAGTGAATCTACTAAACCCCTGTAAACCTATATAAGTCAACTTTCACCAATTTTGCTGTATTTGTATTAGCTATTTAAAAGAATTATTACCCCTCTCTGATCCATCCCCTAGCATTTTGATATACACCTCAACGGACACCTCTCTCTGATCCATCCCCTAGCATTCCTAGCATTTTCAAGGTTAATCAGTTTGCTAAACTTGGTGTTTATTTAGTTACAATGCATCTCTTATACCTTTACCACATACATATGTATGTACTCAGAAACAATATCTATAAGGGAGCTGCCAAAACTTCTTGTAAAATGGAGTTGAAAGATAAAACATTTTTCTATGAGCTTCCTTAGGCCTCCTCGTAATTTTTCTTGGTTTTGCATATGATGTAAATTGACATCATGCTTACATAGATACTTTGTTAGGATGTAAGTTATATAATTTGAAAGTCACAGATTTTAAATGTGGAGTTCAATGAGTTTTGACAAATGTATGCTACTGTATATGTAATATATAATTTTATATTCTTTAGCTTAACATTATGTTGTGCAGTTAATCAATTATTGTACACATTGAGTTTGATCATTTTTCTGGATGGCAATCCACTGTATGGATTTCACAATCTATTCTGATGACAACAATTTAGCGCTTTTCAAAGTTTTATTATTCCAAACAAATTAAAATGTTACTGAAAACATTCCTGTACATGTAATCTCCCCATGAATGATGCAAGTTAAAAACCAAATGGAGGGGACAAATGAGGACCTAATGTCGGGGGTTTAAGTGGAGAGAAAATGTTTTGAGAATGATGAGGGCAATGAATGTACAAATGCGCTTTACACAATTGATGTGTGTATGGATTGTGATGAGTTGTATATGAGCCCCTAATAAAGTGATTTAAAAAACAAACAAATGGGAAGCACTCAGTCAGCATTTCTGCAGCATATAGTTAATGGAAACAGCAAGTCAGAGTATGCAAATCTTCACTGTCATTAGATACAGCCACATTACTCTCCAGTACGACTCAGGCCAAACCCAAACTCACTGCCACTGAGTCAATGCGGGGCACACAGCAACCTTATATGATCAGACACTCTCAATTCACATGCCCAGCACAGCGTTCTTATTGCTCTTTGTCCCCTGAACCAACTCTCACTCACTCGCTGCCATCGAGCTGACACCGGCTGATGTTAGGAACTCTGTTAGACAAGGGAGAACTAACTGCCTGTGAGTTCGGCGACTGTTCACAGGAGTCAACATCTGTCTTCCTCCCTAGCCAACATCAGGCATTGCCAAAGTCAAATGGATGTGAAACCAGTGTAATTTTAATTTGCATTTCCCTGAATACAGTAGAGACCAGCAACCTTCTTTTATACCACTGTCATTTTAGCTTCTCCTTCTTCTGTAATTTGGTTAAGAGATAACCAAATTACACTTTAAAAGAATGGAGAAAAAAACAGACTTTCAGATAATGGGAAACAAATTTCATTCCAAAAAAATAAATACCATATAAAATACATGAGGTGGCTTCAATAGTTCACATAAAAATGGAATTCAAAGAACTTTTGGCAGGTCCCTTGTATATATCATTTCTGGATACATACATTTATATGTGGTAAAAGTAAAGAGATGCATTTTAACTACATTAAGATCAAATTCAGCAAACAGCAATAAGCTGAGAAAATGTCAGGAATGCTAGGGATGGATCAGAGAGAGATGTACATCAAGATGTACATCAAATGCTGGGTCCCTCTCCTCTTTTATGTCCGTATTATAACTCGATTAAATGAGATCAAAATGGGGGAAGTGAACAGGTAAAAGAAAAACAAAACAGGAAAGGGTTAACCATTCGAAGGTAGGGAGAAAACCACGAACTATGTCTGTAGTACAGAAAAGAAGGAAACGCCATGTGTAACAGTAGCTAAAACTCTTGTTTTCTTCTGGGTTTCACCTAACTTGCAACTCTGTTCTTATTGCTTTAAAATCGGGTCTTTTTCTCGAAACTATCTTATGGCTCAGTTTGGAAAGCTGTAGATCAGAACTTTGGGGCTTTGATTATTGGATTATAACATGTTATGGGCTCAGAGTAACCATGTCGCCAGCTGAGAACCTGAATCCAGGTCTGATTCAGTTTTGAAATGCTTTGCTATCCTAGCATATTTATTTCATTTAATAAATATTTGTTAAATGATGACTACTATAATACATTAATTTGCATTTTCTACTCTAGCCTGTTAAAAAATGAACATAATTAAAAGTTTTTCTCTCTCAAGCACCAGAATAAACAAATCTGCATTATTTTCACTATCATTACTAGAGTAAATGCTAACATTTCTGTTCAATGAGGGAGCTTCTTGCTGTAAGGTTTTCAAAACTGAATCTGAGGGCTATGTACATAATCAAAGAGCTTACCTTACTGACACCCACTTCAGGGATTCGAAGAGAATGCTTCATATCCTTTTCTCTGTGAAGTGAAGTGAAGTGTCTTTAATAATTTTTGGCGCATATACATAAATATTTAGGTTGACAGGCACAGGTGAAAAAATAACAGAACCCATATACAAAGACAGATAATATAAAAACTTTAAGATTCCCTATTGTGGTGAGGCTCCAGGTTATAGGTTATCCAATTTTCTTAATCCTATTTCATTTCCTTGGAAAAAAGGGGTATTCCGCCCATCTAAGGCTAATCAGGGCATCTAAATGTCCTTTATACCAAGGCCAACTGTTTTCCAGATCTGTTGAATATGTTTCTATTTCTATTACTATATGTAACAGAAACTTAACTATTTTCCAAGAATTTAAAATTAAGATCTAAGATCTGAACGAAGGGTAACTCACCATCATTAGGCCATTCTGAGTCACAGTGACCCTAGAGAGGGCATCCAAGTCTGTAAATCTTTGGGCCCTTGTCTTTCTCCCTGGAGCAGCTGGTTGAGTTTGAACCCGAGCTTGCAGTGGCCTCCATCCCAACAGACCACGATAGGTTAGATTTCTCTTTCCCATTGGGAAGAGAGAATGATTCTTTTCATGATTGCAGTGTACCTCTTTACCAGCGAGTCGTGAGTCACAAAGGGGAAAGGAGAGGAAGCCAAGACTGGGTTTAGGTCAAGAACACAGTTCAGAGGAGGCTGAATGAAAGGTAAGGCAACAAAAACCTCAGTGGAAGGTATCACCAGGGGTTTCTTTCTCTTGACAATGGCAGGTCTCCATCTCGGGGCTGTAAAGATGTCATTAGACTGACTCCTAAGAGCTAGGGCAAAAGGTAGATGCCACCAGCATTTTTTGCTTGGGTGAGAGAACAGGGATGCCACTGTCATTTTTTGCCTATTTAACAAGTGTCATGCTTATTTGATAAGTGGTTAAGAAACCTACAATTAATTCACTAGAAGGATAAGACAATTAGACAAGTTAATACCATGAGCCATTTATGAAAATTTCAGGAATGGTGTTTGAAGAATTCAGAGGAAATGAAAGAATACAAAAGGGGGCTTCAAAAATTCATGGGAAAATTGAATGAAAAAATAATAGAATTTCCCTAAACTTTCTGAAGCCTCCTCATATAAAAAAAGAATAATTACATCAGTGCCAACTTCTAGACAGAGCACAGTATTTTTTAAAATAATTTTATTGGGGGCTCATACTACTCTTAACACAATCCATACATGCATCCATTGTGTCAAGCACATTTGTACATTTGTTGCCATCATCATTTTCAAAACATTTTTCTACTTGAGCCCTTGGTATCAGCTTCTCATTTCTTCCTCTCCCTCCCTCACAAACCCTTGATAATTATTAACATTTTTTTTTCATGTCTAACACTGACTGATGTCTTCCTTCACCCACTTTTCTGTTGTCCATCCCCCTGGGAGGAGGTTATGTGTAGATCATTGTGATTGGTTCCCCCTATATCACCCCACCTTCCCCTTACCCTCCTGGTATGGCTATTCTCAATATTGGTCCTGAGGGGACCAAGCTGTCTTGGATTCCCTGTGTTTCCAGCTCTTATCTGTACCTGTGTACATCAGAGCACAGTATCAGGCTCTTGAGTTTGCTTCAACCTATCAATACTATGAAGTAGGTATTACTATCTCCATGTAACTTTAGAAACAGGCAATTTCATTTCTGACCCAGAGTCTGAAATGTCACAGAAACAATGGCAGTCGACCTGATTCTTGAAGGATGAGTGTGCAGACAGACAGGACTTTGTAGCCCAGTTCTGAAGGAAGAGATTCCAGATGTAGGAGGAATGCTATGAACAGGTAGAGAGGCGCCTGAGTTCACTTAAACCTGAGGCTGACAAACTAGCATCTGCTTGTCAAACTATGCCCAATCTGTCTTTATAAATAGAGCTTTTTTGGAACATGGACATGCCTACTCACTACATAGTGTCTAAGAGAAAATCTGCTAATCACTGATGCAGATGACAGAAATAAAAAAGGGCATTTTTAGCATCAGAGTTTTTAAAGAGGTTAGAAATCATACATTAGCCTATGGAATATCACCAAATGACTTTGAGACAACACAAGCTAATAAGGGTTGTACTTATGACAAGGTGTGAGATAAATAAACCAAAGGGAAATGACAATAGTAGACCAATTAATTGGTTATTGAAGAGTCCATTTAAAAGACGAAAAAGGATCGTAACTAGGAGGGGGTTGGCAACAGAGATGGAAAGGTAAACGTAAGAGGAGAGATTTTAATAGCAGAATCAACAGCCTTGTGACTAGTTAGGGTATAATTAAAGGGAAAAAGTCAAAGGTGATTGGCAGGAGACGGTCAACACCGTTCACTGAGAATGGCAGTTACGATAACAATAATGAAAGAGAACCACAGCTTGTAGGACAGAATGCACCCTGGACTCACATGCACATCTGTAGTCGACCTCATCCTGTAGAATGAGATTCAGCAAGGATGAAGCTGAGATCAAATTTAGGAGTGTCCTTTACAGAGGTGAAAAGATAGAAAACAGATGATGCATACAGAGAAAGGAATAAAGAGAAAAGAGGTTCAAGTTGTCCGCTCTAAAATCGTTTCTCAACAGAAGTAAGGAGGAGGTCGTTCTTGTTTAGAACACCCTTCAACAGTACCACCATAGCTAAGGGATGAAATGCAGCCCACAGATGGCACAGAGAGCTCTTTACCAAATATGCTCAACTCATTCTTCCACGTATTATTTGAAACACGCCTTAGATTCTAGTCACATCAGAATACGCAGTTCTCTACACACACCACACCTTTGCGTCAGTGAACCTTTACACACGCCCGATCTGCCTGGGAAATGTCAAGCTAACCATCAAGGTGCTGTCCCAGCATCAACTCTTAGGCTCCTCAGTAACCTCTGTTGTCAACAACCCATGGTTCTTCACATGTGAGACATGAGCATGCTTCTCTGTTTCAATTACACTGTTCACACAGCAATTAGGAACACGCACACACCCCTCACACTGTGCTTTCTGGCCTCAGTCCTCTTTTACATTTCTAGCAGACTGAACAACGCTTGACAAACAGATGTTAAAGAAAGTCTTTTTAAAAGAATGATATACTAATATAAGCCATTTTTTACCTTCCAATTGTAGCAGGGTTTACAGCTGTAATGATAAAAAGTGATCCTATCTGCAGCACTGGTGACCTAATAACAATGACTCTGATACACGGGGGCCAAATTTTCTCTTCATCTGCCAAGAGAAAGAAATGGGTAAATGTTCATTTAAACACTATGTTTTTTAAAAAAAATTGACACTAACGAAACATACAACTTTCCTTTAGTTCTTTAATGATTCCTCTCCCCCCACTATCATGACCCCAATTCTACCTTACAAATCCGGCTAGACCAGAGCATGTATACTGGTACAGACAAGAGCTGAAACACAGGGAATCTAGGACAGATAAAACTCCTCAGGACCAATAATGAGTAACGATACCAGGAGGGGAAGGGGAACGTGGGGGGAGACAGGGGGAACAGATCACAATGATAGACATAGTGTCCATCCCTCCGGGGAGGGACAACAAAAAAGTGGGTGAAGGAGACAGCAGTCAGTGCAAGACATGAAAATAACAATTTATAAATTATCAAGGGTTCATGAAGGAGGGAGGATAGGGGAGAGGAAGGAGCTGACACCAAGAGCTCAAGTAGAAAGAAAATGTTTTGAAAATGATAATGGCAACATATGCACAAATGTGCTTGACACAATGGATGTATAGATTGTGATAAGAGATGTGAGAGCCCCCAATAAAATGATTAAAAACATACTTTAATTAAAATATTATGGGAAATTAAACATTTTTTAATGTTTAGGGATAACTAAGAGATATCCCAAAGGCGAGAGAAAATGTATTGCTCAAGAAAATCTTAGCTGATTTCTCCAATCCTAATGTATGTCATACATAGTGAATATGCTGTCTAAATGATCAATCTCTGGGTATTCAGCTTTATATATAAGTAGTCACCTTTGTTTTAATGTCTTAGAATTTGAAAATATTCTACATGAAACCTCTCATATTTTCTAAATTACAAACCTTGAGTCTATTTTGGATAAAAAGTGAAAAAGAAATTTTGTTAAGATCAGAAGCAGCTTGGAGCATACACTATATCATATTTAAAATTCTTGCTTTTATATCCTTACATGGAAGGAAAGAAATAATAAACAAACAAATAAACTAGGTTCATCATAGTGCCCAGGTAGCTGAATTCAAGAACTTAACTCTTTAAAGGCAACTAAGCCCTCACCATGGAGCTCTAGGGTGCAGCTAACCAAGAGGTCAGCAGATCAAATCCACCAGCAGTTCCTTGGGAGGATGACGTGGCAGTCTGCGCCCATAAACTTTACAGCCTTGGAAACTCAATCCGGCAGTTCTACTCTGTTCTATCGGGTCACTGCTGAGTCAGACTCTCCTGGACTGAAATGGGTCTGTTTTGTTGGTTTAACCTCTCCCCCTACACATCTGAGCTCCTGAAACACACTTCTACTACGTATACTTGGAATGAGAACACAGGCTGCTTGGTTCTGTGCTCCATGGATTAGGCCATTCCATGCAACAGGTGTTGTTTGGTCTAAGTAGTAGTCATTTGTTCATATCCTACTTTCGAAAATAACTGAGTGGTAGCCCACAACATTTTCAATAATGCCATTAAATAATCCATTTAAAACTGCTTTAAATGAAAGGCGTTTTTGCCGATATGCTGTGTGAATCAGTAACATTTTTTAGTTCCTCAGTTACCAGACTGGGTTATCAATGTAAGCTTGCATACGGTTACGTACCTTCATCCTCCGTGTCCTCGGCTGTCACACTGTCGTCACTGGTAATGTCCTCATCAGCACTGTCCTCACTCTGAGAGTCTGTAATTTCACCTTCTTCTGGCTCACTATCAGTCTCTATGATTTTCACATCTTTATATGAAGTCGCATTATAGGTATTCTCGTTTAAAGGAGATTCAATACTATTTCCATGAACTGGGACAGGGAATTGTGGAGCACTCCTTTTATAATGAATGTCTCTTTTGGCCTTCTTTTTCACATTTGCCAAATCTTCTCCCTCATTGCAGCTTAAATGTTCAATGCTGGATGCTTTTTGATCTTCTAAATTCAAATCCTGGAAAGGGGTGGGTGAAGAGGTAGAAATAAGAGAAAATAATTTTAAAGATCATTTCATAATACTCCATCATTAAATTTTATACTAAATTACTGTATAAATTATGAAGTAGAATGCTTACAAATCAAGTGTGTAGTGGTTTGAAAGCAGTCTTACCAAATCTTTGACACTCCCCCCATGGAAAGGGAGGGATTTCTATGCCCTCTCTCCTTATGCTTCAGCCAGCCAACTTCAGTAACACACAGAGTAGAAATTCTGCTCTATCAGTCCTGGGCCGTGCTGCTTCTGTCAGCTTCCTCTGAGATGTTACTCTAGCGCAGTGGTTCTCAACCTTCCTAATGCCGCCACCCTTTCATACAGTTCCTCTTGTTGTGGTGACCCCCAACCATACAATTATTTTTGTTGCTACTTCATAAACTGTAATTTTGCTACTCTTATGAATTGGGCGCCCCCGTGAAAGGGTCGTTTGGCCCCCAAAGGGGTCACAACCCACAGGTTGAGAACCGCTGCTCTAGAGGATGCCAATCACCACCTCAGAAGCTGCCCTGGGACTGCCATGCTGGAAGCCCACTCTGTGACGGCCCAGCTGGGAGCCCATCAATAGACAACAGCAGCTGTCAGCCACTGCAGGGAACCATCCTGGACATATGGTGCAGTTGTGTCTTCTGAGAACAGCCGCCCCAACTAACATCTGATTGCATGCAAGCGACCCTCTGCAAGTGACAACAGCCAGAACTCCTGACCATAGCAAGCAGGTCAATAGATTAGTAACTACTAGGTTATGCTGCTAAACCACTGCATGGATTTCTAAAAATGCATTTGAAAAATTCTGAAGATCTGTTAATATTTACAACACTAAGGTATTATCTGCAGGAACCCGAGTGTATAGGGTTACATGTTTGGCTGCTACTGGCAAGGTCAGCATTTTGAAAACACCCGCTGCTCCTCGGGAGAAAGATGGGGCTTTCTATTCCCGTAAACAGTTACCCAGTCTAGGGTACCCAGACGGGCAGTTCTAGCCTGTCCTATACGGTTGCTGTGAGTGGGCATCAACTCTGAGTGAGAAGGTATTATCAGAGGAGCCTTGATGGCATAGTAACTACATGCTGGGCTACCAACCACAAGGTCAGCAGTTTGAAACTACCAGTTCCTTGGGAGAAAGATGAGACTTTTTACTACCATTAAGAATTAGTCTTAGAAACGCACAGAGGCAGTTCTACTCTGTCCTATAGGGTTTCTATGAGTGGGTATCTAATTGAAGACCAAAGAAAAATCAATGGATTTGATTGCTGGTGAAGACTACTGAAACACCATGGACCACCACAAGAACACATCTGTCTTGGAAGAAGGGCAGCCAGAATGCTTCTGAGAGGCTAGGGTGATTAGACGTCATCGCACATAGTTTGGACATGTTGTCAGGAGAGACCAGTCCCTGGAGAAGGACACCAAGCTTGGTAAAGTAGAGGGGCAGCAAAAAGAGCAAGGCCTCTGATAAGTGGGACTGACACAGTAGCTGTAACAATGGACTCAACATAAGAACAATTGTGAGGATGGCATAGGACGGACCAGGCAGTGTTGTAATAGGGATGGCTACGACTCAAAATGACTCCAGAGCACACCTAACAATAACACAAAATATTATTCTAGTCAAAGTACCAGCTGCCAGCGCGCCCATTCTGACTCATGGTAACCCCGCGTGTCAGAGGAGAAGTGCGCTCCCTAAGGCTTTCAACGCTGCTTTTCCAGAAGCGAATCACCAGGCCTTTCTTCTTTGCCGCTCTGAGAGGACTCAAACGCCTAACTTCGTGATTAGCAGTTGAGCACATGAACCTGCTACACCACTAAGGGACTCCATAGTGAAACAGAAACTGATTAATGACACCCTTATGGAACGAGTCCACATTCCATAGTACAGTGAGTATTTAATACTTACGAAGCCTAGAAAAAAACTCTGTTAGGGGTTATGCAAGAAATTAAATTACAATCTGTTTGATATAATCTGATTAAGATTGGTATGACTTTGCTTTTGTATTTCACGGCCTGATCTTGCAATACTCTGCAGAATTTATTTTTATTCTTAATGTCCTCACTTTAAAAAACACACAAAAATCTTAAATATTTTTGTTCAAAAGCAAAGTTTCATTTAAATGTCACATCAAGATACTTGTAGACTGTAACATTTTGGTTTACTGGACATCTAGATTGATCAAAAGTTGAAAGATAATTTAATTTTGTTTCAGAGAGCTCAGCAAGAATTTGTAGACTTGTTAATCACACAATTCTCTGAGCAGAAAAAACACCGTCAGCATCCTTCTTCTCGAGGAGGATAAAACCAACAGAAAGGTGGAGTTAAGTAAGCCCTGTGAGTGATCCCACAGGGCCTGTTGAATATGGTAGAGATTAAAATAACCTTGGTTTTGTTCCATGAGATTTCCCTCATCTTTAAACTTCCTATACGCATAGCAAATTTCTTTCCCAAAAGATCAGTTAGATTTTTTTTCCATCAATTTACACAAAACAAATAACCTTTGATACCTATGGTTGTGAAGGTTAATTTCTAAAATAATAAAGCTAGTAATAATTATGTTTATTTTAGCCTTAACACATGGATAGATAAGCGATATTGATTCAATTTGTTATTTTCAAAGAATATTTTTTCTTGGTAAGGAAACAACGTTTTATTTTTGTAGAATATAACATTATATATTCTGGGGGTGTAGTGGTTACATGTTGGGCTGCAGTTCAAAACCCCAGCCATTCTGTGGAAAAAAGATAGAGCTTTTTACTCTTGTAAGAGTTTGATTGTTGTTGCTAGGTGCCGTTAACTAAGCTCTGACCCACAGCAACACTGCACAACAGAATGAAACACCACACAGTCCTGTGCCGTCCTCACAATTGTCCCCACGCCTGAGCCCTTTGATGGATGGTGTCAATCCATCTCATTGAGGGCCTTCCCCTCCTTCGCTGCCCCTCCACTTTACCA